TTGGCTGAGCGGTACAAAGGGCCTCTGGGAGAAAGAGAGTCAAAGTGGACATCCAGGAAGCAAAATAAAGAATGACATGGACAGAAAGAGAGCAGCCAAGGGCCTGTTTGGACTAGTTTGGACAGTTAGGTTTGAGGTTTGGGAAGTAGGATCACCTAGAATGAGCACGTGTAGCTGTGGACAAGGATGAAGGCAGCCTAGGGCAGATGGACACAGAAGATTAGATAGCCACAAGGAACTGAAGTTAAGGTTTGGTTGCTTAGTCCTAAACAACTGTAATCCCATCAAAGGGTCATAAAGCAGCAAACTGCGGGTCAAATATAGACCAGAGCTGTGTTTTGTTTGGCTTATAATGTTTTCTTAAATTCTGAATTAGTGCCAACATTAAATATTTTGGATGTCTTCACCAAAAAAATTCCAGATTGTTGGCCTCTCTGACAACACTGGGCCCACATTCTCACAGGTCAACCCTTGGCTGCAGCTGAGTAGTCACTGCCCATCTGCACCCTGCATGAGGTTCCAGTTCATCCCAACCCCACTCAGCCTACGTTACTCATTTATGTCACCTGTTCAGCCCTGGCATGCATTTGAGCTCATGGTACCTGCTAATGGCAGTGAGAGTCCTTGAAAGTTTGTGATGAAACTAATGTCTTAAAAACCCCCTGGGGCAAGTTGAGAAGATGAATTGGAGCAGTTTAGGTGAGTTCAGCAGTTCCGCGTATTTACTATGTGCCAGGCATTGTGCTAAGCACTCAGAAGCTTCAACGAATAAAAAGAGACTGCCTATTGTAGTAGAGAAGACCAGGAATATGAAGATCCTTTAAGTGGCTGTTTCAGAAATTCAGGCACCACTGAGTGCTTGGAATAGGCAATGAGAACAGAGATGAAGGCATGAATGCAAAACATGCTGAAGAATTTCTGTGACAAATCTGCACAGGGGATAAAGAAGGAAGTGTGTGAACTATGACCTTGTTCAGGTGGATACAAGGAAGAGAGGGTGTAAGTAACAGTATCAGATTACTTGGCTGGATTATTCAAAATCCAGGGCAGGGTAACAGAAAAGGAAAGCACCCCACCTCGAAAAAGAGAATGAGGGCTATTCTGCAAAGGCAGGACCTAGGCTGCGCCCTTCCTCTTGGCAAACCTCCTCTTGAGTAATGGCAGTGTTATCACAGCTCATGTGTTCAGGAAATGGGTTACCAGATTACCGTATTAACAAATAAAGAAAATGGAACAATCTTCATGTAGGCCTGCAGGGACCTGTTGGAACTCAACCTCCAGAGCTGTTCTAGGGCCAAAATTTTTAGTATTTTGAGCAAATCATCCAGGAAACAGAAACAATTGTATACATTTCCCTGATGACTCAGTGTTGAGTCACACTGGGTTTCTTCAGCTCCCTAACTCTTTAGGGGAAAACTGGTAGGATCTGCCTTCAGAGAGTTACTAAATAAGTGTTACTAATGAGGATTTGACAAAGAAACAATAGCTCCCTTTGCATTTCCCTGAGAAATGTTCTACAAGTTTCCCTAGCATACATTCATTTTACAGTCAGAAAGCCCTGTAATGGGGAGGGACTGACAATTTCACCAAGCCATATATTTGCTAAGCAGAGCACAAAAATTATATTTATAGAAGGAAAACACTTGCATTCTGGCACCAGGAAAAAAAAAATGTCAGTCAATTGGATTATTTCAATTGAAAGTCAAGGGTTTCATTTGAATTATGTAGGGGAGAGAATGCCTTGTTCTTCTGCTTGCTTCAACTAATAGGAGCTTGCCAACCCATACTCTAGTGTATAAATAATCACAATTTAGCTCCCCTTCAAGTCCATCATTCACGGCCTCTAATCAGGTGTACTGCAGGTTTCCTTTCAATGCCTGCACGTGCCTGTGTGTGCCCATCCCCAGACTGCAGACACACTGGAGGATGTGGAATTAATTTGCTCCCCATCACACAACAGGGAAAAGCTTAGGCCTTGTTATCTTGAATCTGTTAAATGATCACAATAAAATTACTCATCAGCCCCAGCAGTGCTGGGATTCCCGCTCAGAGTCTCACTGTCTGAAGACTCTGACGGGTGGAGTTTCATTATAAACAGGGATTGGCCAATTAGTCACACATTTATTCCTTGGAATCCAAGTGTGTGAGATCTTAACACACATTAAAAAAAGACTCTAATTACAAGTTATACAGCTGTGGTTTGAACATTATTGAAGAGTTGCCAAACTCGAAGCTTTAATGGTCAGGACAAAGTGATGGGTGAGCTAGGTAACAGGTGTCCCAGGTTCCCTAGGTGTATGTCTTTCCTAGGTCTCCATAGATGACCCAGCTCCCCAGTCCAGGAAAGCTTTCTCCGAGGGTGTGTCAGGAGGCCCAACCCATATTCCAGGCAGTGCCAGGCAGGGCCCATCCTTAGCCATTCTGGGTCATGCTTTTTTCATCAATGGATAAAGGACCAGACTGGGTTGCTTCAAAGGTCCCCTCCTTTTCTAAAAGTCCATGACCCTCTAAATGAGGGGAAAGGGGATTTAAATGGAGGTTCACAAGCAGGTATTCAAATGGAAGTGCTTGTTCTAATAACTTATATTGATCATAGTGGTGAATTATTGCAGCAAAGAAAGACAAGGGTCTATAATCAGACCTGCCCCTGGTGTCTCTTCCTCTTCTTATAAGAAAACCTGTCACGTTGGATTAGGGACAAACTCTTATGATCTCATTCAACCTTAACTATCTTTTTAAAAGCCTTGTCCCTAAATACAGTCACATTCTAAAGTCCTGGGGATGAGGACTTCAGCATACGAATTTTGAGGAGCCACAATTCAGCCCATAACACCACTGTTTGCCCTTCCCAAAGTTACAGGCATAGATAGCCCCAGTATGTTCTAATTTCCACTTCCTTACAAAGTTCTCTCCCTATGTTCCTGTCCCATGTAGCACTTTTACTCTGTGATTTTACAAAGTAAGTCATAGGGATGCTCACTAGACCTACTTTTCTTCTTCTATTACCTCCACATTTGTTGGATTATATAGACATTTAAGGCTAGGAATTAAGAAGCAACTAGTTGGCTTTAGGCAACTTTCATGCTGCTCCTATTTACCAAACTTTCAGAGTCCAGAGGACTTAGGCAGTAGGTCGTTTGGCAGGAAAAGGTGAAAAAAAAAAAAAAGAGGAAAAAGAAATGTGCATCTATGCCCAGAAATGCCTCACCATGAGTCTGTCTCCATTCCCTACAAGATACTTCCTGTGTTACAACACACAGATTAACAAGCCTAGACAGAGGCAGGATGGAAGAAAAACTGTTCTGCAAAGTTTTTCTGTTCTGCAAAAAAAAAAATCAGCACTCAATTTCATCTTCTCTGGCAGAGCAACAGCCACACAGACCCCACATACAAACCCATCAGCCCTGACTGACACTGCCAGCACCCATAAAAATAGAGGCCCAAATTTTAAACAGAGTTGTATCTCAAACTACCAGCTGACTCCTTGATAAATTTTGGTTTTTTAGATGTAGTCACAAGCAACCCTCCCCAATCCACTTATTCATTCCATAAATATTTATTGAGTAATTTCCATGTCCAGGATCGGAGATACAATGGGGCTGCCCATAAGTTTGCAGTCCAGTGACAGAGATAGACAAGTTCTAATAAATGGTACTTATTTCACCTCTCTGAACAAGGTATAATGCTAGGCACTACAACACACAGAAGGCATGACTATCCCCACTGGGCATGAAGCTAAGGCACAAATTAGTTCAAAAGCCCAGGTCACATTATTAGTCAATGGAAGTGTCCTGACTTCCACCAAGTCACCTGACCTCCTGAGCACTGTGCCTTCCACAATCATGGGATTTAATCTGGGGCCCATGAACTTCAATGGGAAAAACAAAATTAAAACATCTCTATTTTCATTAATCTCTAACTGAAATTCAACATTTTCTTCAATTATATATGTAGGCAACAAACCACATCAAAATTAGGAGCACCTACAACTTTGTCACCAGTAGAAATAACAAATGTTTTCTTACATTATAGGTGTTGCTTTTATCTTAAAATACTGTTTATACTCATAACTACTTCAAAATTATTATAGCTGTTAGATTCACTGCTAGATCTTGTTTTATAATACATTTGTTTTTTTAAGTCATTTATATTACTACTACAGCATAAATTCTTAATATTTTTACAAGTGTTTTGGAAATAGTTTCCTTTATAAAACCCTGCTTCTGGCTTTATACCTTTAAAAGCATTGTTCTGAGAAGGGATCCTTAGTCTTCCCAGAACTGCCAAAGGGATATATGGCACAAAAGTGGTCAGAACCTTACATTACAGCAATGGGCAGCCCCGTCAAATCAAGAGGCTCTGCTCACTATGAGCAAGAAGCTGCGCTGGGATTGTATAATTAAAAAGAGAGGGACGAAGAGAAAGGAAAGGAGCCCCAGTGCCCTAGAGGATCCTTTCTCCCCTTTCCTCCAATTTCTGTTCTGCAGGGGCCCTCAATGCTCTGCTCTGCTCTGCTCTGCTCTGCTCTGCTCTTCCCAGCCGCAGCTGTCTCACTGAGCTACCCCTATCCCACACGCAGTGCGAGCGGACCGATCCCCCCGCGGCGGGCTGACGGGCTGCCGCCAGCCTCTGACCCCCACTCGCGTCCCAAGGCTGTGCTGAGTGACACATTCAACAAGTGGAAGGTGCCCGAAATACCCACACACCAAGACCAGGGGCACTTTGGTGTTCAACCACCCCTGGCAGGTCAGCTTCTCCGCGCCGCCAGGGCCCGACACTCCGGAAAGGAAGCCGGAGTCCCAGGACCCGGGTTCCAGACAGGAGCAGCACGAGCTGTGGGTGTCGGCAAGGGTGAAGCGGGATGAAGGTGCCACGCAGTCCCACCTGCGTGGGCAGCTGGGCCAACAACCAGCCTCAGTGGTGCTGTCACCGCCCGCGCCCCAACCCCTGACCGAGCGCCCGAGCCCGGCCGCCGAGCCCGGCCGCCCGACGCCTCTTACCCAGGGGCGAGCGGAGCTTCCGGCCACAGTGCTGGCGCAGCAAGAGCTCGCGGCCTCCGCTGGGGCCCCGCCCGCCCGGTCTGCCCCCACACCCCCACCTGCGCGGAGGCTGGAGGCGGGGAGAGCGAGGCTCCCCCCAGAAAGGTCCCGTCACTGTCCTGTCAGGCGCCACAGCCTGGGCACCACGGCCAATTGCAGACTGCACCCAGGCTTTAAGCGCGCACAGAGGGCAGAGCCAGGAATGCGGGTCCAGCCGGCCCGGCGCGCTTCCCATGGCACAGACTCGCCCCTGCCCTATCGCGCTCCGGAGGGTGGTTTGGTACCCTTATGCGCGCCAGCCGACGGCACAAAGGCCCCCTGTCACTCTCCACCCCGACGCCCTATCACCCTCCAAGGCCAACAGCGTTGCGTAACTGGGAGGGGCAAAAGTGGAGGCGGGGCTGTGGACAGAGTCCAAGGGCAGTTTGTTTTGGGTCCTCCAGTGCGTCTTGTGCTTCTGACCTGTTTCCCACGGACTGCGCAGAGACAGCTGCTCTCACACCCATTTCACAGTTACGGCAACAGAGGTTCAGAGAAGCCTGAAGACTTGCCTTAGTAAACGCTGGAGTTCTGCTCTCCCCTTAGGCGCAGGCCAGGGTCAGCCACTGGACTTCACACGTGTTCCCTGCTACTTTGATGAAAGGACACTTTCAATTGGCTGCTTTCTCGGTTGTGGGGTGGGCGGGCGACAAACTGTACATGAATGGTTTTCCACCTTATTAGATATAGCAGCACTTTTTTATAATATAGGGTATCCTAAAAGTCTTAGAGCAATTTTAAGTTTTAAGGCATTTAAAACTGTAAGGCATTGATGAAAGAAATCAAAGACAGATATTCCATGCTCATGGATTGAAAGAATATTGTTGAAATATCCACAATACCCAAAGCAATTTATAGATCCAATACAATCCTTCAAATTCCAATAACATTTTTCATACTAGGAAAACAAACAACCCTAAAATTTGTATGGCATCATGTTTCCTGATGTTAAACTATATCACAAAGCTCTAGTAATCAAAACAGTATGGTATTTGGCATAAAACAGCCACAAAGATCAATGGAACAAAATAGAAAGCCCAGAAAAATATCCATACATATATGGTCAATTAACTTATGGCAAAGAAGCCAAGAATATACAATGGGAAAAGGACAGCCTTTTTAATTTATGTTGTTGGGAAACTGGACAGCCACTTGCAAAAGAATGAAACTTACACTGCATACAAAAATTAATTCAAAATGGATTAAAGGGCTGAAGACCTGAAACCATACACTTCCTAGAAAAAAACATAGGAGTTAAGCTCCTTGACATTGGTCTTCACAATGATCTTTTGGATTTGACACCAATATAAAAAATAAACTAGTGGCACTACATCAAACAAAAAAACTTCTACAAGGCAAAGGAAACCATCAACAAAATGAAAAGGCAATCTATTGAGCGGGGGAAAATATTTGCAAAGTCATATATCTGATAAGGGGTTAATATCCAAGTATATAAAGAACTCAACAACTCAATGGCAAAAAAAAAAAAAAAAGAAATCCAATTAAAAATGGGCAGAGGAACTGAATAGACATTTTTCCAAAAAAGAGTGGTACATAAAAAGATGCTTAACATCACTAATCATCAGGAAAATGCAAATCGAAACCACAATGAGACATCACCTCATACCTGTCAGAATGGCTAGCATCAAAAAAAAAGAAATAACAAATGTCAGCCAGGTTGTGGAGAAAAGGGAACCCATGTGCACTGTTATGGGAATGTAAATTGGAGCCACTATGAAAAACAGTATGGCAGTTCATCAAAAAATTAAAAATAGAACTACTATATCATCCAGCTCCTCCACTTGTATTTATCCAAAGAAAATGAAAACACTAACAGGAAAAGATCTATGCATCCCCATGTTCACTGCAGCATTATTTACAAAAGCCAAACACGAGATAAACCTAAGGGTCCATCAATGGATGAGTGGGTAAGAAAATGTGAAATAAACACACACACACACACACACACACACACACACACACACAAGAATATTATTCACCCATTAAAAAAAGAATGAAATCTTACCAATTGCAACAACATGGGTAGACCTTGAGGTCATTATGCTAAGTGAAATAAGTCAGAGAAAGACAACATACAATATCTGTATGACCTCACTTACATGTGGAATCCAAACACAAAACCAAGGTTACAGATAGCAGATTAGTGGTTGCCAAAGGCAGGGGTAGGTGGGTGAGCAAAATGGATGAAGGAGGTCAAAAGGTACAAACTTCCAGTTCTAAAATAAATAAGTCCTGGGGATATAATGTACAGCATAGTGACTATAGTTAATAAAACTGCATTGTATATTTTAAAGTTGCCAAGAGAGTAGATCATAGAAGTTCTCATCACAAGAAAAATAATGTTTTATATTCACTAATGGTGACAGATCTTAACTAGACTTATTGTGATCATTTCACAATATATACAAATACTGAATCATTACATTGTATACCTGGAGCTAACATAATGTTATATGCCAATCATAGCTCAATAAAAAAATAATAAAAGCTTTAATAATTTCAGATATTTGTTACAAATTCCCCCCAAAAAATCCCTTGAAAATACATTTACATTTATCTTACATTTACTTAATTTTCTGAATTTTGAATAATGAATTTTTGTAAATTTTTTTTTCCAATCAATATTTTCTATCTTCTATTAGAGGAACTGATTGCATCTATGGTAAAATCACTGTGAACATCATAGTTGCAAATGCAGACTGTAGACTTTTATTGGCAATTCAGTTGCACCTGCAGCATTACTCGGTGACATGATTTTCTAAAGTGGAGAACAACTTTGCTAACAGTATATGACCACAGAGCAGGTACTGACTGGGTAAATTTGGTAAAAAAAAGAAAACATTCTGAACAAAATAAGCATAATCTCTTAGTTTTGCCAATAGATACATTCCTGGGAATTTCATTACATTAAAACCATGCAAAAATGCATGATATTTGTAACTATCTGAGCTAGAGTCTACCTTACGAGAAAAAGTTAAGGTATTTTTACAAGAAGAAATAAGGTTTTTGGGTTTTGGGGTTTTTTTTTTTGCATACCTGAGCATTGAGTCACCATAGGGGTGGACACCTGAAGCCATACAGGATTCATGAGAGTTAACTGTGTGCGGTGCTGCCCCCACAGCACAGGATGTTAGCATCCCTGGCACCCACCCTCTCAATGTCAATCAATTATGTCCCAATTGTGCCAAATAAAAATGACCTCCTGTATTTCCAAAATACCCTACCCTACCTCCCAGACCCACCACCTCCCCATTCCAGTTAAGAAGCTGTTGTTTAGAAGGGAAGGATGCATGCAGGAAAGTGTCACATATGTGCTGCTTGCTGGGCAGTTAAGAGGCTGATGGGTGTGGAATCAGATTCAGAGTCAAGGAATATGTCTTGAGCAAATTCTGCGTGGTGGGAGCTTCTACATGTACTCATGCTATTATCTCACCCAAGACCCTCCTTTGAGGAAGAGCAGGGGTCTGAGAGTTTGCTCACTCCCTCACTCATGGAGTCATTCTTTCACCTGCTGGATACCCGAATCCCTGCCTGCTGTGTCAAGCCCAGTCAGTACCTGTTCTGTGGTCATATACTGTTGACAAAATCAGACTTGGTTCCCACCCATGTGTGTCTTGCAAAGCAGTGAAGGTGCACTGGGGAGATCAGAATATAGGAGAAGCATCTTTAAAGGGTGAGAAGAGGAGCAGCTGGCACTAAGGAGCACACCCCAATTCAAGAACATCCAAGAGAAGGAAAAGCAAACCAACGGGGTTCTGGGAAGCCATGCAGGCTCAAGAACAGCAAGGGCTGGCAACAGGAATGGGTGGGAATAGGGTTATGGCACCGAGAAAGGGAAGGTGCTGAAGGAAGAGCATGGAAGAGATGTTCCTATGGACATGCATCCTTAAACAGTACCTTCTGCTTTGCCCACTCAGCAAGCCCCATCTTTATCCCTTTCCTGCAGCAAATTCTTCCCTGGGTGAGTGAGTAGCTAGAGAAAGGCTCACTGTAGCCCCAGCAAACCATTCCTAGCTGAGAGAGCAGCCCAGCCAAGGTGCCACCAGCTTCTGAGCAGCTGCAGTGAGACTTGCAGGAGAGCTGGGGATAGGTTCCTCCCACATCCTTCCTGCACAGACTGAGCCAAGCAGCCTCAGAACCGGAGCAGGTGGGTAGACAAACAGAACATAACATTATGTATTATGCTGAGTTTCTAAGAGGCAGTCCCAACACCTCCCAAAAGTGCTGTTTCCCTTACAGCCATCCTGCAATTCAAATAACTAAAATGGCTATTGGGCTCCAAGGTAGCTAGGTTCCTCATCTGCTACATAGAAGATAAAATTGTTTTCAGACCAGAAGCACAAAAGTATGTGGAGGTGTTTCACAAACTGCAAAGAACTCATCGCAATCAGCATTCTTGCTCACAGGCAAGAAACCAGCTAGATACCTTACGTAGAAAAAGAATATTAAAGGCTCTCAGGGGTTCACAGAACCATCCGAATGACATATAATGATAGCAGAAAAGCAGGCAGGAATCAAGATAGTTCCGCAAAATCAAAAGGCAGAAAGCACAACACCACTTTTTAGCAGCAACAGCCTGGCCACCCCATGAATACACCCACTGCCTTCACAAATGACTCTAGAACGAGTGACACAAATATAAAGGGAGTGAGAATTCAAGTCCTCGGTAGGAGTGTCCATTAACCAAATCTATGTCAAGCCAACATCGCAGCTGTCAGAGCAGGTAGGGCACACTTAGCCCCTCTGACTTCCACCGCGATTCTTATGATGGGCGCTGCCACCAGATGGGGGAAGGGGTTTAATACTAGGAGGAGGAGGAGGGAGAGGAAGAGGTGGAGGCAGGGGAAGGGAAGGAGGGGAAGACAGGGAGCAGGGGAATAGAGGGAGGCAGGAAGGAGGGGAAAGGGGAAGGAAAAGGAGAAAGATAAGTTGTTGGCTCCATTAATATATTTTATAGATTGTTTTCTACATACAGAAGCAAAGTGGTATGACAGTCCTAGAGCAACAAAGGGCTCTGCTAAATGCAGATATATATGAGTGCTGTGGAGTGAGGGTGTGACTCAGGCAGGCTCAGGCTCTCCCCCGCAGAAATCTCCTAGGATGCTAAGAAAAATACTGGATCTGGAATCAAGTCTTTCTCAGAAATTTAGTCCCAAACTGTTTGGGACAATTCTTTTTGCCTGAATTCCCTCATCTATAAAATAGAGATAAAGTCTGTCCTCCTACCTCAAGGATATAATGGAAG